AAGTGGATATTTAATCTCTATCATTACTTTACTCAATGGTTGGTAATCCACATACGTCCTCATTCAATTGTTGTCACAAACATGCAAACCTCTAAGCCTTATATCCCAAGGGTTATCCTACTTGCTTAGCATATACAAACACCAGTTCTCTACTGTCACTGAACTCAAATCCACACTCTAGAAGAAAGTCGCAAATATCTTTAGGAAAATGATCAGGAATCACACAACACCAGTATATCACTAGCCGTCACATTACCCTATATTCTCCGAGAAGAAAACATGAAAAATACCTGATCGTTCTTTCTGAAGACATCCCAACTTGACATGTAGACAAAATCATGAATTCGTACTCTCTTCAGTTTCAACAAACAACATAGCTCCAACAATACTTGCTCTCTTTATAACTCAACAGGGTATTGCACCAACTCCCATACCCAAAACATCTCAGAGAATCAAAAGCTTCTCCCCCACTTGTTTTAAACCAACCCTTACAGATAAATAGGTAGAAAATCAAGCAAGTACGGATAGTGTTTCACACACATGTCACACACTAAGGAACAAACAACATTATACAACCTGGACGGACGGACCGACCTACTCTGATACCAATTGTAACACCCCATTTTCCCATATGAATATTTATAATGAAATATATGAAAATGCATCAGAGTTCACAATGGGATGCCACATAAATCATAAAATCCATAAATTTCTCAAAATACTTTATTACTTTGTGTATCCGGAAATTGTTATCCGGAAGCAGAAAATTAACACAAAAGTAGTTCTTTGGCATTCTAGCCTTAACAACAATTCAAATCCATAATACATGGTCCATCATAAGTATAAAAGAAAATGTGCAACATTTGAAACCATGCAAAACATAATGAAAATCCTAAATCCCGTGTTACATATCAGAGCTACTCCTAAGACTCGATCTGATAACATCACTTCAAGCACTAATCGTGTACCTGATTATCTATACTCCCGAAGAGTACAGACGCAGAAACACAAAAGTGGTGAGAATTTCATTCAATAATTACACGGTGAAATAAAACATGCTAAGGAGTAGTAAATCACAACATATAGAAAATTCATCACAAACAACCATCATCACATCATACAACATCAATTCAGTGTTTATGCAATGCAATAGTCCTACGTCAACATACATGTGGTACCATGTTGGGAAATAACAGAGCATAAGCCCTCAACACAATGTCAATCCAAGACAACATCAGGGCATAAGCCCTCATCCATGAATGCATGAAATATGAACATGCAACAACGTGAAATCATAGAAACAAAAGACATAAGCCTTCATAGCCATGGCAATTTAAGCCATCCACATCATCCTCATCATAATCACCAACATTGCCTCATACCAACATCATCAGCAAAAGAACATCGCGAGAAAACAACCCACTGTTTTAGTGTAACAACAAGGAATAATTCATATTTTAACATAGTTACTGTCATTATCCTTCTAAATATTTATTTTACTTCTTATAAATATAGTTCATCGCGTTAGCTATCCAATGTTTCGAACGACACCTCAAACGGAGTCCGGAAACTCAAGTTACGACCTTTAGAAAAATCTGTCAAAAATTGGATTGCTTGAGTCGACGCATGCCTCCTTTGAGTCGATGCATAGGTATTCTTTTTTCCCCGGGTGTGATCTGGTTGATAGAATGAGTCGACACATATTGAGCCTTGAACCTGCTCGAGTCGTTGCATGACCTGTTTGAGTCGATACTGAAACAACCGGCTGAACAATCAACTGATAATGAAATCAATGAAGTCGCCACCGAACGTCTTTTATCCCACCGAAATGGAAAGGTAGACATCGAGAAAACCTGAGAACGGTGAAATCAAGGTCGAACGACCAAGAGATACGGGTAAGGGAGTCTGTTACACGAGGGGAAGGCATTAGCACTTCACACGCCCGTAGTACTCTACGGTATCCACTCTTATTGTTCTAATCAAAGGGTGTGTAAGAATCTATATCTAAGCTTTACAGGGAATGCATGGAAAATAAAGGAGAAAAGAATGTAGGGAAAATAAAAGTTGTGCTCGTTCGGGCCCTACCTCCGATGCCTACGTATCCCTTTTAAGGAATCAGAGCAGCCGTAGTTCGACTTCAAAAGTTTTTGTTGGTTTGTATTTTTAATGAACAATATTAATTTTGCCTTCTACCGCAACTAGACTTTTGGAGATTGACGCGTCAACGCATAAGTGAATTAACATGTTATTTCAGAAAAGAGTTTGAAAGCAAAGCCCAAAGGCGCAAAATAGTTTGCATTGGTTGATATTTTTTACCTTGAAGAAGGATTTGGAAGTTGTTAGGTGGTTTGTGCTTTTTCAAGAAAAGAGGAAGGTTTAGTTTTAATGCATGTATGAAAAATAAAGAAAAATAATCTAAGGGAAACTAACCTAGATCTATCCCTAATGTTATCATACAATGATTAATCCTAAGGTTTAGTTTTGATCGGGAAATCTCTTCCCTATGTTGACATGCTTGGATAACAATCCTAATGTCTATCTCAAATCATCATCTATAGATGAATCAAGAAGTCCTAAAGGAGCATAGCAAGGGTCTATCACCTAAAACCATGTCTATATCAAATCATCATCTATAGTTGAATCGAGAGCTCCTATAGGAACATGCCGAGGGTATACCATCTAAAACATGCACACAAAGTTGAAATCAAACAAGCAAACCAATAAGCTCAAGAGAGTTAGCTCAAGAGAGCACACCTAGAGATATCCTATCTAGGTTAGCACGCCAAAAAAAGTCTAACAAAACTATCCTACGGGGAACATGTAATGAGAGCGAAGTCGTGATCTCAATTTCTAAATTGAGTGACTCATCGATCAACAAGAAATCAAGGAAAGCGATGAAATCCTATAGGGAGCATGCACTAAGAGTGAAGTCGTGATCTCAATTCCTAAATTGAGTGACTCATCGATCAACAACCAAGATAACAAACACAAGCACAACACATAGAAAATGAAGTGTGGAATGCCATCTACAGGTCTTTAAACAGCTACTTCGAGCGCACACTCTTTATTTCCTACTTCTCATGATATCTAGAAAGCAGTAAAGTGAGAAATGAGATAAACAAGAGAAAATACCAAATGAATATCAATCTGTAGAGAAAAACAAATAGCGAATAAACCCATTGAACTTCGTGAACTGCTAGCACCAATAAAAAAAAGAAACAGAAATCAAATACTCGGAATAAGTGTCAACGCATCAATGATGTGAAAATAAATCACAATCGACATCCCAAGCGCATCCGCATACCACACCCTAAACCTGCATAACATTCCAGATCTCAACATGCAAAGTTGAATCACAAGATCGGGCGAAATGATTACTAAACATAATTGATAATAGAAAATTCTAAACAAACTTCTACAAAAGAAATTCTAAAAAAAATTATTTTATTCCATTATTCTAAAAACAATATATCAAAATTAGAGAATTAATTACTGATCACAAAAAAAAGTCTTATCGATTTTGTAATTTTTTATCGAAAATCTATAACCAAAAAATAAGGGAAATGTCATGGAAATTTAAAGATAAAATTAAACTAAAGGGGTGTTAAGCTGAAGTCAGGGGGTGTTGCAGAACTAAATGAGGCGTTAAGGCCCACTAGGCTGAGTCCTAATAGCATTTTTTCGTCAATAAACTTAGCATTAGGCTCCAAAAACAGTGGCATGGGCTGAGAAGGATGATGCCTTTTTGTTGTAAGGCAAGCTCAAACAAAATTACAGATCCAAGAATCCGCTCCAAGCCCAAATCCTCATTCCAAGGAGAGAAACGATGTCGTTTGGGAGTTAGGGTTCAAATTATTGACTTTTCAACTTCTTCGTGAAAAATCTCTGCTCCCCCTCTTCTCTCTCAATTATGGCACCAGTACCCTGAATCATCATCTTCTCTGATTCACAAACCCCGTTCACCTCCGTTCATCATGAACGATGATCCCAATCATATTTCATCTGTCCGTCTCCATCGACATCTGTTTCGTTTCTGTCTCAGTCTAAATCAGAACCACACAGAGAATCACAAAGCTTCGAAGCTTCCAAATCTGATCACTTAATGCACACATTCAAACAAGATGCGATGCGAAACGATGCGAGAAATATGAATTGAAACTCACCGGTCGGAGTTCATCTGACGCGTCTTCGATGAAGGAGATTTGAAGAATAAAGCCATGAATATTTTCTTCCAGGTATCTTCTTGAACTTTGCTTCTTTGGTTCAGTCCCTTTCTTCTTCTCTCTCACAATTCACGTGGTGCTGTGTTTTCTCAATCATTGCGATGTGTTGTCGTTGTTGTGAATTGTTGAAGATAAACCACGCGGCGTGTTGTAGAATGCAGCGAGGATTGAAGTTGTTATACCATTGTGTGAAGACGAGGATGTTGGGGACGAAGATTGAAAGAAGGATGTGATGAAGATGTTGGTGTTGTTGCAGAAGCTTCAAGGTAGTTGAAGGACGGTGAAGGTGGAGAAGAGAGATTTCTGTGCTTGTGATTATTCTCTAGGGAATTGAAGAATAATAGATGGAAGAAGAGAGAATTTAATAGAGTTTTTTTGCAGAATTGATGATTGAATGATGATGATGATCCAAGAAGATGGTGGAAAAAAGTTGAAGAAGATGTAGAGAATTTTGTGGTGAGTTTTTCTGTATTTTTTCCTCTGTGAATGAATGATTCCTGAAATCCCCTCTTCCTTTCTGTTATATCATACAATCGCCTGGAGTTAGTTGGAATAATCTGTTAGATTCAGTTATGATAGGATGTGAAGTTAGTTGAATTTTGTTATTGAGCTGGAACTGTTAGTTATTTATGTTAGAGAATTACAATTGAAAATAGCTAGCTGCAAGTTGGAAACCTGTTGGTTCTATTATTGGATATGTTTCTGTTAGACAATTAGAAATAATTTGGTTAGGATGATGAGCTAATTTTTTATTATGCTGGGCCCAATTATTTTGGATTATGTTTGGCTATTTGATGCAGGCAGCAACAACTTTTCTCGTAGAATATGTGGACATGTTCGAACTAAAGACAAAGGGCTTGAAGCATGTTCGGGCTGGTTAGTGTTTGATGCAGCAGGGTGGTTCTGTTCTGGTATATGGCCTGGTTTTAAATGGTTATAAACTGTTAAATTCTAAATGTGCAGGGCTGTTTATTTGAATTTTTAACCTTATTATTCTGTCTAAATATATGCAGGGCTGCAAACACTCATGAGCTGATTCTGGATCTAATAATACTGGTTGCAGGCCTTACCTCAAGCCACTTAGGTAAACTAAAGGAACCTCTCAACTAATGGTTTGATGCCTCTCGATCCTCCACAATAGTAGACTGCCCTCCATAAATTATTTCAGACAAAGCATTGTCTTCTTTACCTTTATTAGTAATGCACAAAAATAATGTGTCCTGATTTTCTTCTGTTAGCCTAAGCAACTAGGGCAAAAACTCTATTGTGAATCTGAGTTTTGATTTCAGTTAGTAGTTTATTTTTGAGAAAACTTGTACTCCCTTTGCACTCATCTTCTAATCACTGTTTTGATCAAACCCCCACACTGTTTTAAAACTGCAAGCAGGCCGTCCACTGAAAAATAATGCAGAGCGATTTACAGTATAGTTTTTTACTCCGTATTTCTGATGAGCTCTTGGTTTTTTTGATAATATGCAGACAATTATCTGAATAATGCAGCATCTTGGCTACTTACCACAGTACAAAACCGCTCTAGAATTACCACAGTTTGAAACTATAATATGGGATGGACAAACAGTAGCTACAACATTAGTGGAACCAACAGTTCCTGGTGCAATAGGTTCATCGTTAACTTTATCCCGAACATCATTATCAACTTCCAAAAATACAATCAGTGAAAACCTTTTCATAAATCTTGACAATTATCCTTTGTACTTCCAATTACTAGACCTTCTTTGAACAATTCTACTTCCTCAGCTAAAGCCAAATGCATACAATCACAAATTTTTTTTATCTCTTGAGAGCACTGTGGCCATCATATATTATAAAGAAATAGATTGTCTGTATTTAACATCCTTGTTGTTGATTCTCTCATATTTTTGTGTAGGTTGCATAATGACTTAAGGTCGGGAGCATGGAGGATAAGGCTTGAAGAAAGGACGTGCAAGATGGAGTCAAAAGAGACTTGGTAAAGAAAATGAAGGATGAAGATTAGATTGTAGGCTTAATGTGAACTTTGTAGAATTGGTCAAAAGTGTAATCTCTTTCTATTTTTTTCAGTATTGTAATGACAATTGAAATTGGATTTGAAGTATAACTTTGATTCATATAGGGGAATATGACTTCTTTTAAAAAAATGATAAAGTTTGAATTTCCTTCCACTATGCTTCAATTTGAATAAATCTTCAAGCATCTAATATTTTCTTCAATTTGCAATCTTGAACCTTGATTTCATAACATTGTATTTCATCTGGATTCTTCAATATTTCTCGGATAAGTTTTGTGATGCTTGGTATCTTGGAGACGAAATAGGACTTGAATTTTCCTTTCCCTCCAAAACTTCTTTTAACATTTCAAATTTTGCTTCGAATTGCATCCTTTAATATATTGGGAACTCAAGTAAGATACTCTTAGTCAATCAAGGGAACTCAAGTAAGACATTGTCAAAACCTTGGATGCAACTATGACCCAATACACCACGTTCATCTCAAAGCCTCGTGTGAGAACAAAAGAGATAACTTGTATGCCCTAAACAATGTAACATCTTGATCCTCAAGCATCATAGTTACTTGGAAGATTTATTTGAATCAATGATAAATAAAGCTCAAACGGTAGAGTGGGCACCAGTATATCCACATTTGTCTTCTACATGAAGTTTCTGATCACATAGCTTATGAGTTAAGTAATAAGTGCCCCCTTTTGATTTACAAAGAAAGGTCAAAAGAAAACCCAAGCTAGTCATTGATGAAGAACCTTTGACCATGATTCAACAAAACCCGAATTGGTTAACTGATGAGTGGATGAATGCCATGTCATAGTCATTAAGCCTGATCAAATGATAAATACACTTATATGAGGAGACGTCTTGATTCAAAGACCATGTATGCTAGGTCACTCCCTTGAGTTCTTGACAAGAAAAACCTGCAACCTATTGTTCATCAGAAGATAATAGCCTTGTAGCTTGATGGAGAAGAAGTCCAAAAATGAGCATGAACCAAAATCCTAATTCCATAGTCTCGTACACCAAGAAGAAACTGAATAATTAATCTTATTCATTCATATACACCTCAAATTAGTCATAAACCCTAACTTCATAGTTGCTAATCTTTTGAACCTCAGATGCCCTTTTGAATGCAATGCATGCTACGTTAGTGGCCTAATGGAATATATGCAGCTGGATGCAAAAGTCTAAGCCAAATGAAAGAAATTAGGAGGGCAATTTTTTGGGTGCAACAGATGCATGCTGTTTTGTGTTGAATGTTTCAGCGATTTTCTACAATTTCTCTATGATTTCACTACCTTTTGGGTCCTAAAACAACATCTAATAATAAGAATTCATCATCCATTATCATCCTATGTTCCTACATCAATTATACATCATTTGAGCATTATTATTCATCTTATATTTCATCAAATCCTCATCCAAAATCCTCAAATCCTAATTCTCATTACTTATAGGTTCTAGATTGGGGTTTTATGCAACAATCATCATAACAACGCAAATCACAACAACAATCACAACATAGCATCACAGATCCATGTATAATCATATACAACACATCAATTCAATCAAACCAAACAAATTATGCATCAATCATATAAAACAACCTAAGAGGGAAAGGAACCCTCACTACACTTTCATGTAAGATCACCAATTAGATAATCCATTCACCCCCCTTACCTTATGATTATTGTTAGCTTTCGATTCCTCTTCTCATCCTACAAATTCCTCTTTGCTTCCATGTTTCCTTGTGCCCTAGCTTCTCCTTTGCTCTTCTCCCAATATCTCGATTGTACCAAATGATCGTACAATTCTCTTTTCCCTTAGTTATCACAAGGACCCCTAATATCTTCCTCAATTTACCTCACTTAGCATTATGTCATTTACCATCTTTCCTTCACTCTTTCTACTAATTACCATATTGTCCTTAATTTCTCTACACTTCTATTATTCAAATATTCTAATTACTTAAATCCAAATAATTCTAATTCATCACTATTAAATCTAAATAATTCTGAAATAATTATTTAAATTTCAAACCTTTTTACTAACTCATCCTACACCACATAACTCATCATCTTAAACACCTTATTCATCAAATCATCGCTATTCGCATCACAACTTCATCATGAATACACATCATATACCATCACAAGGACTCACATAAGGCATCAAAACATCATAAATAAGCATCAAAACACCATCTACTTCACATAGACTCATATAATCATACTAAATTAATTAATTAATTAATTAATCTAAAATTAGGGGTGTTACACCTGACTTTGATTCAGAAGAAGTTGGTTCAAACCAAGCCGCCCCCTACTATACCTTCACCTTTACCCTGGTATTATAAGGAATACCAGACATGCACTTTTCATCAAGGAACCCCAGGGCACAGCATCGAGAACTGTTATCCTATGAAATTTTAAGTACAAAAGATGGTGAGATTTAGCCTACTATCCTTTAAAGATGTTGACCCTAACATGAAAGATAATCTTTTCCCTAAGCATGGAGGAGCAAGTGTTGTAAACATGGTTGATGGTTGTCTAGGAGACTTCCGGATTTTTTATATCAACCTGGTTAGAAGAGATTTGGTAAAGATGCATGCTGACCTTTACGAGTTCAGTCAATATACGCACGACCATGCTGGTTGTAGTATTTACAGTATAGATATCCAAGGATGTGATAAGATAAAAGTTGATCTTCAGGAAATGATGGACGAAGGCGTCATTCATATAATTAGGCCAAGGGCAAAGTACAAAGAAGATGTGAATATGGTCTTTGGATGTCCTGGAGATTTCCGGATTTTTGATGTGAATCATACGAATGATGATTTGGTGCAATTGCACGCTACCTTCTGTCTTATGGATGGTCAAGAAGAACACCATCATGGGTCTTGCCAGATTTGTTGCAGAGACTCTCGTCGTTGTTCCATTGTGAATAGGGGTGTTCTTTTGTTATTAGACAATGGTACTATCAAAGTTTTAGGCAATAGAGATGATTACCGTGGGATTAACATGATTGAAGATTACTTGTCTGAGACTGTGTCAGATGATGAGTATGCTTCTGTAGATGAATTCTTTTCCTCATATGAAGATGTGTTCTCCAGTAATGATTATATGATGTCTAATTATTATGAAGAGGGGGTGAATGTTATTGTGCCTTGTTTCAGTGTTCATGCTCCTATAGAGATTGAGTACCATAGTAAGCCAATTTTTGCTCCAGTGGGGATTTTCTTACCGGGACCTGTTCCTTACGAATCAGACAAAGTTGTACCATACAAATACAACGCTACAATCCTAAAGGATGTTGTGGAAGTTCCCATCCAACCATTGCGTGATGTCAAGAATATTGTTGAGGCCAGCCGAGTGACCCGTAGTGGCCGTGTTTTTGCACCTGTGATTTGAGGGAATGTTAATGCTGATAAAAAAGTTGTTGAAAGTACTGAACCTAAGAAAACAGTGAGGGAATCTAGTGGTAATACTCTGGAAAAAGATATGGATGATATATTGAAAATTTTCAAGATGATCGACTACAGGATCCTAGATCAATTGTTGTAAACTCCATCAAAGATATATATTCTAGCCTTTCTAATGAATTCTTCTGCCTACAAGGAATCTTTGATGAGGGTATTAGATCAAGCCTTCGTGGAAAGTGATATGCCTTTGGACCAATTCAGCAGGGTCGTAGGGAATATTACATCATGTAATAACCTGAGTTTCTGTGATGACGAATTTCTCGATGAAGGAAGGAATCACAACATAGCTCTCCATATCTCCATGAATTGTAAGAATGACTCATTGTCCAACGTGCTAATTAATAATGGGTCCCTTATAAATTTCATATCGAGGAGCATGATCATAAATTTGAAGTACCAAGGATACCCCATGCGCCCGAGCGGCACAATTATGAAAGCTATTGATGGATCGAGGAAGTTTGTCATCAGGGAAGTAGATTTTCCTATTCACATAGGCCCACACCTATTTCAGATTACTTTCCAGGTTATGGATATTGTTCCCGCTTATAGCTATTTACTGGGATGACCGTGGATCCACGAGGCAGGCGCTGTTACTTCAACTTTGCTCCAAAAGCTGAAGTTTGTTCGTAATGGAAAGGTGGTCATCATAAATTGAGAGTAGGCTTTGTTAATGTCTCATTTATCCTCTTTCAGTGTTATGGAAGCGGATGAAGCTACTATTGGAACTCAGTTCCAAGCTTTATCCATTCATAATGTAAGGAAAAATGAGGATTCTATAGCCTCATTTAAAGATGCTCAACAGGTAGTGCATATTGGCCCCAGGAGAGTGTGGGGAAGATTATTGATCCACATGTGGATAAGAATAGAGCAGGTTTGGGATTCTCTGTGAAGAATAATAAAGGTGAGCATATGAAGCCAAAGTCGGCTTTGGGCAAATATCAAGACATCTTTCACAGTGGAGTTTACCTTCATCCAACTGTTCCTAGGATCAATGTTATTCTGGAAGGTGAATCAGAGTAAGAGATATCGAAATACGTGACACATGGAGTCAGACTCCAAAACTGGGTCACTATTGATGTTCCCTCTTACATTCATATCTCAAAGTAATTTTTTAATGTTAATCTTTTCAAAAATATTTCACTCTTCGCAAGGTGAAAGTATTCCTATTGTAAAGGCATATCTGTCGCTTTGATCTTTAAAATCAATAA